CTCTGAAGATATCCATACCCTTACACACTAGTCCTTACCTCCCCAATTCCAAAATGATGCGTCACTTTATCCTGCTAGAGATCACAGCACTGTTAAGGTCAAAATAAGCATTTTTCTAGACTAAGAAACTTGAGGACAGGAACAATGTCTTTCCCTCATTATCTGGTACACAACCTTCTATATATTCAACATGTTTTTGTTTAACATTTGAATATATTTATTCATTCAATTCCTATGTGCTAGGCAATGTTCTAGGAGGAACACAGCAATAGGCAAAACAAAGTCCTAGCCATCATACAATTTACACTCTAGTGGTGCGTGACAAATAATAAACAAACTATAGAGATAGTCCCCAGAATTGGCACATAGTAGGCAGCACTCTATAAATATCTGAGGAATGAATGAATGAATAGTATGTCAAATAGCAGTAAGTTCTGTGGAGAAAAATAAAGCAGGAAAAGCAGAGGGCAGAAGATGGCTTTTACTTTAAATAAGATGGTCAAGGACTGCTTCACAGATTAGGTGACAGCTGAGCAGAAGCCTGAAGAAGGTAAGGGAGGAGCCCATGCTGATATCTGGAAAAAGTGTTCCAGGCAAAGAAAACAATTACAAAGGTCCCAGAGTTGCTTGGCATATTGGAGCAACTACAAGGAGACCAATGTGGCCAGAACACAGGGGGAAAGCAGTCGAAGATGAGGTCAGAGCAGCTGGGAGAGGGCAGTGTGGAAGATTGTATGTGTCCTTGTAGAACTGAGAGGACTTTCGTTTTTAATCTGGGTGGGTCCCAATGGACAATTTTCAGCAGATGAGTGGCATGATTTTATATGTAACAGGATTACTCTGGTCACTGGTTAGACCTAGGGGACCAAGAGCAAAAGGAGGAAGACCATTTAAAAGCTATTCTAATAGCAGAGGAAGTGATGAGAAGTGTTCAAATTCTGGGTGTATTTTAAGGTACAGCTGAGAGAAGCTGCTGGTGGAGTGGATGAGGAGAGTAAGAGAAAGAGCTGAACCTATGGATAGTCAATATTCCGCTGTATATTTAATACAACTGAAACTGCGATGGGGAAGAATTGCCAGAGATGCGGGTGAGAGAAATTTCGGAGTTAATTTTTTTTTTAATATATTATGTTCAAGAAGCTATTAGAGGGGCCGGCCGGGTGGTGCAGTTGGTTAGAGAGCGAGCTCTGAGCTACAGGGCCACCGGTTTGATTCCCACATGGGCCAGTGAGCTACACCCGAGCTGACCTACCAACGGGCAGTCAGATGGCTCAGCTAGTGAGAGTGCATGCTCTTAACAACAAGGTTGCTGGTTCAACTCCCACATGGGATGGTGGGCTGCACCCTTCTCCTCTCCCTCCCGCCCCCAACTAGATTAAAAAAAGCGAATGGAATTGGAGCTGATCTTACGCCCTCCTCAACTAAGATTGAAGGACAACAACTTGACTTGGAGCTGATGGATCCTAGAAAAACACAATGTTTCCCTTTCCCAATTCCCCAATAAAATCTTTAAAAAGAAAAAAAAGAAGCTATTAGATACCCAGGTGGAAATATCCAGTAGGCAGTTGGATATAAGAATCTTGAGTTCAGGGAAAGACATTCAAGCTAGTCATTCACACTTGAGAACTCTCAGGGTATAAATGGTATTTAAAGTCTTAAAAGAGAACACCAAGGAGGGGCTGTCCGAGTGGCTCAGTGGTTAAGAGCTCGCTCAAGAGTGCAAGGCCCGAGCTGAGCTGCCGCCGAGCTGCCAACAAGTGGCAGGATGGCTTAGCTAAAAAAAAAAAAAAAAAAAAAAGAACACCGAGGAAATAAGTGTAGACGAAGAAAGAATCCAAGTGCTGATCTGAGTACTCTATCATTGGAGGCTGAGGAGAGGAGGAAACAGCCAGGAAAAAAAGGGAGCGGGGAGAGGGGGTTGAGAAGGAGGGGCTGGTAAGGTAGGAGTGGCATCCTGGAAACCTAGAAAAAGTAGTGTACAAAGAGGGAGTGTCAAATGCTACTGAAAGGTCAAGAAAGAAGACAACTGAGAAATGACCACTGAACCTACGTGCTATTTTCTAAGCATGTTCTTCCCTATACTTTTTATCTTTTAATCCAGGTAAAAATCCCAGTATTGGCCAATGAATACACATAAGGTTTCTGTTTAATGTAGCTATATCCATGTCTCAAAGGAAACAAACAAAAAAAACCCCCACAAAAATCAATGCACTTAATCTGGACACAACAGATTTTACATAAGAAATAATGACGAACAAACACTTTGTCTGGTTGAAGTAATTGTTTCTGTTTAACAAAATCCCCAACTACTTCTTGCTGGTGCTCAGGAGGTGGGATCAAAGAAATGAGCTATTTAAATATTTTTCTTCTGTTACACCATAAAAGTAGCTATTATTCTTTCCTTCCTCCCTAACTCAAACATCCTAACCAAAGACCTTAAATTTCCACATACACACTCCTTCAAAAATAAAGCAGAACACAATCAAATCCAAAAGTTGAATGAGAAAGATATGCCACGCATTGCCCCTTCTTTCTTTTACTGCACAAAGGGTTAACAATCATTTACTAATTCAAAGGCTGTGCTTTATTTACATTTTGTCCTTAGACTCTCTAAGACAGAAAGCACAATTTCTGGTGTCTTCATCTTAGAAGAGAATTACTGCTACAAAATAAAGACTAACTTTCTGTGCTCTAGCAAGAATAGTAAAGTCACGATAATCTACACTTCTGAAGCACAACAATAATCACCAAAAACTGTATCGCGCAAATGTTATTTCATACCTTCCTGAAAGGGCTTATAACTTCTGAATGGACTGTGCTCTCTCTGCCTTTGCTTCCTCTGCCTGGAATACCCTTCCCTGCCCTCCACCTTACAATCTGCCAACCTGGGACTCAGCCTGAACATCAACTTCTCTAGGCAGCATTCCTGGATCCCCTTCAAGGCTGAATTAAGGACTCTCCTCTGAGCCCACAGTATCCTCTGCTTACTCCTAGTATCATAGCACACTGTACTGTGAATCTGTTTGTCTGTCTCCCTTTCCAGACCATAAACACCTTGAGGGCAAGGACAGGGTCGCATTCATTTTTATAGCCTTAGTGTCTGGGACATATCAAGCAATTAGTATTTGTTGAATGAATAAGATAGAATTTGACCTAGAATACCTTATACGATTTTTATAGCATTTTCTTTGATAAACCAATTGAACTGAGGCTAATATTAAAATTATTTGGGATCTAATCACGTCCCCAGTTGATAACAGAAACAAAAAAATTTCCCCTACCTGATATTGGAAATAGAGTTTAAAAAGGAGACCTGTTTGGGGTGACCAGTTAGCTCAGTTGGTTAGAGTGTGGTGCTGATGACACCAAGATTGCCGGTTTGGTCCCCGCATGCACCATTGTAGGCTGTGCTCTTCCTAAATGAGTCAACTATGCCATTGTGGCATGAAAGCAATGTGTAGCCAATGACCATGGCTCTTCCCCAATAAAATAAAATAAATTTAAAAAAAGAGCGAGACCTGCAGCTCAGGATCAGCCCAGGAGGAGTTATCATACCAGCTGCTCTTCCAGGGTGCAAGACAGCAGTCTATGCTCACCACATCACAGGAGGGGCTTGTGGACGTCTGTATTGTTCTCTTCACCTCCGTTCCACTAAGCCTGTATTCTCTTCTCTGCCCTACTCTTTCCTCTCTGTCCTTTTCTTACCTTTTTTCCCTCCTCAATTTAGAAATTTTGCACTTGCATTCTGTTCTCATTTTCCCTTTCACTTTTCTCTGCACTCCGTTCTTGAGCCTTATTTCAGACAGAGTGACCCTGGGGAATCCAGGGGCATTGCTTTGCCAATTGGGAGAACTTAGGCCAAGGATGTTGCTGTATCTCCCCCTCACTTCTGTGAGGCACACCAACATATTTCTTCTGTTTCTAAGGAAACCAAGTAGTGACCCCATAACAGCAGTGTAGGGTTACCAACACATAAGGTCAAATTGTTACTATCCACAAAGTGGCAAAGACATGTTTCTAGGCTACACTATGTAGTATCCTGGAAAATAACAGGGCAAAGGCCCTCTCAATTTACTATGATTTTAAATGAAAGAGAAATGGAAAGTTAAATGTTAAGGGGAAAGAGAAAAAGAAACCATATTTTCTGAAAAAAAAAAAACTGTTGCACGCTGGTAGGGCAAATTTAAAGAACTATGGTATACTTGCTGGGCCAGGTAGGTTAGGGGGGAAAAAAATGTGGTCCCTGCCCTTTGGGAACTCATCTTATTGAGGAATCATGCCTACCGCTTCTCCAACATATAAATATAAACATTAGAGAATTAGAGAGAAGAGAGTCTCTTAAACCAGAAGAGTCAGGAACCTAACAAGTTAATTGGACGTTCTGAAACAGCAAAATGAAGACTGGGTGGAAAACTTTTTGAGTTTAAGATAAAGCTATTCCATGTGTCAAAGTCAGTGCCATAAGCATCAGAAGCCAAGGAAAGGAACATGCACAACTAAAAGTCAAGAGGCTCAGATCTGGGCAGATGGTTAGCTCAGGTGGTTAGAGCGCAGGCTCATAACACCAAGGTTGCTGGTTCGATCTGCACATGGGCAAGGAGCTGCGCCCTCCACAACTAGACTGAAGACAACTACTCAACTGGGAGCTGATGGGTCATGGAAAAATACACTGTTCCCCAATAAAATGTCTTTAAAAAAAAAAAAAGAGGCTCAGGTCCTAATAAACTGTGTAAACCTGAGTAAGTCACACTTCACTATTCTGATCCAAAAATGGCTCTTCCATAAAATGGGCAGAATAATACCTTCCTGGCCACATTGTCTGTGATGATTAAATAAATAATGTGAAATCACTTTGAAAGGTTTTATATAACAAGCCAATGTGAGGAAAGAGGAAGCAAAAAAAAAAATCCTTCTTCTGAATGGAGTATAAATCCTGTGGTTCAGTTTCCAAAGTCTAAGCCTGACTCACCTTCCCAACCTCAGTAAACCCCTTAACCAACCTTCAGTCACTGGAGTGGGAGGAGAAGAGTCATGTGTGAGGCTCCGGGGTGGGGCAGTAACTATTTAGTCAGTTGCTCCATATCTCAGTGGCTTCATCTGTAAAATGGGTGGTATGGAATTCAGTCACGTATCCACATGATAGTGCAGGTTCACTGAGAAAGGGAGTGGAGAATGTACCATAAGTGAGTAAAATACATATTTTCATAACTCTCCCCTCCAGGGATAAATAACCAAGATTAGCAAATATCATCACACCCTGGACAGAATTAGAAGGTGCCTTAGAGACTATTTAATCTCTTTTTTTTACAGATGGGAACACTGAGGCCCAGATAAATGAACTAGGTTATAGAAGTTGCAAAGCTAATGAGTTGTAGGGCTGGAGCTAGGAGTCAAAGCCGTGGATTTCCTAGTCCAGTGCCCTTTTTGCCAGATCTCAAGGTCATCCAAGGCACCTGTGGCCTGTACAATTATCAACACAAAGACATATTATAATTTAATCAACAGTCAAATGTGGGCTACAAGAGGAAGAGGCTGCAGGACCCTGGGGGAAGAGAGGATGCTGAGAGCTGGGAAAGGTAAGGCTTCATTGAAGAGGTGAGTATAGTCCTGGAGGTACTCAGGTAAGAAATTAAGGGGATGTTTCTGGCAGAAACAGCTTAAAATAGGCAGTCTTGTAAAGAAAGACCCAATTGATAAAATTTTCTTTAGGGAAAATAAACAGGTGGCAGATTTGGAGGACCAGGATGCTTTGAATCAGCATAATTTTTCATTATATGTAATTCAGTCCTTTTGCTGTCTCCTGAGTTTTGAACATTTACTAATATTTGTAATTCCCTAATCAACTCTGTCTCCCTGTAAGGCCCTCTGCAGAGACCACATCTAGCTTACTGGTTAAGTATATAGGCTCTGGACTCAGATTGCCTAAATTAAAATCCTTGCTTTACCACTTATTAGCTATGTGACCTTGACCTTGGACAAAATCCTGTACCTTTTTGTACCTCTGTGAAATGAAAATAACATCATCCCCATCTCAGGTTTGGTGAGAATTAAATGTGTACATTAATCATATTGGTCACAACCTAAATGGATTTCTCATCACTTTAGTTTTAATGTGCCCCTTTTTTTAATGTAAAGAAGAGAACAAAAATTACCAGAGTACATTGCAAGTAGCAACAGTAAGTAACACTTTGCAAAAATTTTGTTTCTGTTATATACATGGCGTGTATATATATACACACACACACATATATATATATACACACATATATATATATACATATATATATATATATATACACACGCGCACACACACACATATATATATATTGTTATGTAAAATTTATTTCTTAAAAGTGGTTTGCTTCAAAAAATGTGAGAGCAACTGAATTAACACAGAGAATAAAACTCCCAACAGTGCCTGGCACATAGTAAGAACTTAGTGCTATTATTGTCATTGTTGCTGTTACGCACCTACCAATTAAAGCTGTTTGTAGGATTAAATAAGGTAATGTGAAAGAACTTTGGAGAGTCTGGTATGTGATATTAATGTAAGTTAAAGGATGCAAAAAGCCCTTCTCTCCAGCTCTAACACCCACACAACTAAAGCCCTGTTTAGGCACGTACAATATTTGTTGCTTGGCCCACAAGTTATTTGTTGCAGTGAACTGAAGAGTTCACAGACTACAATTTATCTAACACTCTGTCATGCTCTGTCAATATGTGCAGAGAAATGGACACTTGGTGCCAGTGTAAAATTATTTTTACCTAGTTGGGGCACTGGGGTGGGGAAGGCAGAAGTCATGCCATGGGTAGATGAAGGAAGCCAGTGAGTCATACAGAGAAATTGCTTGCTCCACAGAGTTAGATAGACTCAAAAGTGCCACAGACAGGGCTGGACTGACAGATACTTGAGCCTTTAGGCAGGGTTGAATCACATCCCCCTCCCTATCCTCACCCAGACACCTCATAAAAAATGGCATTTGAGGCCGTTACAGGTATAGCTCACACTAGATAGGAAAAACTGGGAATCCCCAGACAGATACAAATAGAGGGTAACTAGTCACCAAAAGGTTACCTGAGGGATTCCCTTAAATGACAAGCTCACCTAAACGCTCAAGTAGCACTTAAATTCTAAAACCGATTTACAGGAAAATTTGGAAATGTGCTCACCAATAAGGAAATTAGAAGGTCTGGATTCCATCCTTGACACTGGGTGACCTTGAATGAATGAATCACTCCATCTCCCTGGGCCTAAGTGAATTCATCTGTTAAAAAAAGAGAGAGAGAGTGTGGGTCAGTTGGTTAAGGGCTCGCTCACGAGTTTGAGCTCTGAGCAACAGCGGTTCGAGTCCCGGCCGGAGCTGAGGAGCAGCTGAGCTGCCAACAGGTGGCAGGATGGCTCAGCTTAAAAAAAAAAAAGAAAAAGAAAAAAGAGAGAGAAACGCCACCACCTACCTCAGAGAATCGTAAAAATTAAAGATAGTATGCAGTAAAATGCTTAGCACGGGATCTGGCACTGGTAAATGCACAATAAATGCCGGTCCCTTCTAAACTGAAAATGAATACCAATTGTGGTCAACAGGTTGACGGTCCAGCTGGCCTGTGAAAAAAATCATGGGCATCCTGTTGCTTCACGGAAATCGTCTTTTTAAAAAGATGTAAAAGACTACTTCTTGGTCTCTCCAGCACAACAAACTGTGCTAGATAGAAGTCTAGGAAAGTAGTAATTTCCCACCTCATTCCTTAAGGAAGTGATTCCTAAATGCTTTGATACTGGGGCCCAAGTTACCCATTGGTACCGACCCCCACTATGCATTAAATTTAAAATGAGCAAGAGACTCGGTATTATGCCTACATTTTACAGTTATTCATCTTCCCGTTTCACATTAATGGGAGAAATGTATTAAAATTCACCCTTCAAGGTTTGGACCCTCCTGTGGATGGTTTTAGCCAAGTGGTTAGAAGACTCCCTAGGCAGGAAGTCCCCCAACGACGCACGGGGGTTGGGGGTGATGGCTGGGCGCATTCTAGAGCTTTCCTGCTGACCCAAATTTCTCGGTGACGAATCCAGGCCACGTGTCGCCATTTTGTGTTCAGAAAACATGGCGGCCACCCCCGGGGGGAAGGAAGAGGGGGCGGAGGGAGCGCCACGTTAGCTGCTTTCCCTGAGGGAACCTGAAGCACGTTGCGCACACGGCCTTTTCTGTGGGGCTCAGCCCAAGGGGAAGAGGCAGAAATTACAACGGGTACACCAGCACCCCCAGCGACCTTTCTGTAGCGAGAACATGCGGTACCCACACTGACAGGAAAAGGCCTTCCAAGATGGCGGGCCGAGACGGGGACCGCCCTCGGAGTGCGGGGCGCAGCGTCTGCACCAAGTGAGGAAAGAGCCGCAAGGCCGCAGCGGGAGGATCAACTGCGCAGGGCAAGCCGCAGCAGCTTCCCAAAGCACGGGTTGGCATCCCTTGAATAAACAGGACCTCCAAGAGGCACACCATTGTTTTAAATGTTTGATGAGGCTGCGGAGGCTAAAACGACACCAGGACAGGAGGTGGAGTTTCTGCGGGTTTAACCGAAAGAAACTTGCAAAGTGCAAACAAAGCATTATGTAAATGGACGCCATTCTTTTTTAAGGCCACGTTTCTAGCACTTCCCAGAAACCACGAGCGGACCCGCAGCTCTTGAGGCGGGGGGAGGTGGGCTTCGGTCTTTTTCCTCACCGGCCAGGAGCCCTCGGGCCTGGGCCGGGGGTGTACTAGCGCTGGGCTCCCAAATGCCTAGGACGAAAGAGCCCCACGTGCCCAGCCGCGCGCGCGCCCGCTCAGCAAGCATCGCCGCCCCTCCCCCCCGGAAGACTGCGGCTACCCCTCCCGTCCACCCACACCCTCGCGCATGCGCTCTGGCCGCCTCACGCGCACGTTTTAAACCCGCGGCGTCCCAGCAGCTGCCTGCAGTTACCGCCAGGGCTGCCCGTGTCCCTCCGTGATCAAGCACCTTTGGCCGGGCCGGAAAATAATGTGTCGCCCCCATTCACAACATTTAACATTTCCAAACATCTGCCGGTGCCGCTAGGGATAATAAAATACGTGTTCGTTTTAAAACTTTGCCGGACTCACAGCTTCTGCCCATCGGGGTTTTATTTTCAACGCTAGGCTGTTAGAAGGGTTTTTTATTTTAAGTGCCATGTGGAGGTTGGCGCAATCTTGTGACCTAAAAAAGACGGGTCCTCATTTTTTTTTCAAGGGGTCCTGCGCAGCAAGCACTTCCGGGTCAGAGGGTACTCGGGGTTGAAAGCGGGCTTCCCGCCCCGCCCAGACCGCCGAGGCTGCCGCCGGAGTCGCTACCGCCGCGCCCTCGCCCACCC